ACACCAAGATTTTTCACTTTATTACCTGAAATCAGTTTAATCCCATCCAAATGAAGTGACTGACTAATCAGCTTCTTTTTCAGAGACTCTGGTCCAAAGACTATAACTTCTGTTTTGTCTGCATTCAGAAGGAGAAAGTTAAGAGTCATCCAGGTTTTTATGTCTTCAGACATGCCTGTAATCTATGTAATGGGTTAGCTTCATCTGGATTATAGACAGATATAGCTGGGTATCATCAGCATAACAGTGAATATTAATCCCATGCTGTCTACTAATTCTACCCATGGTAGAATTAGTAGACAGCATGGAATGTCTAATCAAGGGGGACGAACACATAAAGTATTCGGCCCCCTTGAACTTTTCAACCTTTTCCCACATTTCAGTCTTAAAACTTAAAGAACAAAAATTTTCAATTTCTGTGAAGAATCAAAAAGTGGGATCCAGTCATGAAGGGGAACAAAATGTGCTGGATATGCAAAGTGGGGCATGCAAAATGAATGGGCTCTTTTACTTTTTAGTGCAGCAAACTCTCTCCAGAGGTTCAGTGAGGATCTCTGAATGATCCGATGATGACCGATAATGATCAATAGTATCCAGCCTCTGTATAAATATTCTTGCTCTGTGATCAAAGGAGTATCAGACCATTGGAAAGCTATGAAGACCCGCCATCCCACTGAACCTTCAGACTGATCAGAGATGCAGCCAAGAGGCCCATTATCACTCTGTATGAGCTGCATAGATCTAAAGCTGAGGAGGGAGACTCTGTCCATAGGACAGCAATCAATCATATGGTGCACACATCTGGCCTTTATGGAAGAAAGACATTTCTAAAAGATATCCATAAAAATTCTGGTTTAAAGTTTGCCACCAGATATCTGGGAGACACAGCAAACATGTGGCAGAAGGAACTCTGCTCAGAGGGAACCAAAATCCAACTTTATGGAAACAATTCAAAATGTTATGTGTTGGCTCAAAAGCAACACAGCTCAACATCCTGAACGCAACAACCCCACTGTCAGACATGGTGGTGGCAGCAATATGGTCTAGGTCTGCTTTTCTTCAGCAGGGATAATGGTTAAAACTGATGGGAAGATGGATGGATCCAAATACAGGAGCATCCTGGAAGAAAAGCTGTTGGAGTCTGCAGAAGACCGGAGACCAGGACAGAGATTTATATTCCAAAAAGACGAAGATCCAAAACAGAAAGCAAAATTTAGAATAGAACAGTTTACAAATAAAGACATTCAAGTGTTAGAATGCCCTGGTCAAAGTCCAGACCTGAATCTAATTGAGATTGAGATCTGTGGAAAGAACTAAAAAAGGCTGTTCACAAACTCTCTCCATCTAACCTCACTGAGCTCCAGCTGTTTGTAGGAAGAATAGGAACATTTCAGTTTGTAATGCCAGCAATAGGTAGGGCTGCAGAGTATTAACTCAAGGAGGCTGAATAATTTTGAATACCCAATTTTTGTGTTTGAAAGTTTTGAAAAGTCTGAAATTCACATACATTTTATTCTACTTAATGAAGTTGTTGATTCCTCATGAAAAGGGTTCTGGTTCTGTTAAAAGGTGTTTTTCCTCTCCACTGTTGCTGCATGCATGCCCAGTGTGAGGGATTGCTTTACTGTCAACAATGCATTTCAAGCAAATATCTACTGTCTGTACATACTAATCCAGGAGTACCGAATCCTGTAGTCACTGACTCAATGCAATCTAACTCAAACAAATCTGACAGGGTAATGTGATTCAATAGTCTCACATTCTTTCCTTGAGATGATGGGTGTTGTGAATTGAGATATATAAATACACTTAAAAAAACGGAAATTAAATCAAATATTGATGAGCGCATGCATAAACATATTTTAATGCTGTGTTTGTGTAACTGCAAACAGAGATTGTTTTTGCCTTATTTAAAGATCTATTCTATGTCTATAATCATGTTTCAATGTTTAAAGTTGAGCAAACAAAAAAAAAAAATGAGCAAACCTTCTGAAAATGAATCCCTGGGTGTGTACGAACTCCTGAGCACTCCCTTATTCAACATTCCTTTTTATGAATGGAATGTTTAAGTAAAACATTATACCATAAATATTGTGTCTTTAGGCACACTTTAGGCACACTTTGATGAAGCCCCTGGACTCACCGAGCCTTTCTGCAGTTCACTATTGCTGGTAAAAGTCTATATCGTCCATTATCTGTTGTGTTGTACTTCTCCAGGTCCAACTCATCCAGAACCTCCTCTGACATCTGCAGCATATAGGCCAGAGCTGTGCACTGGATCTCTGAGAGCTTCTGCTCGGATCTGTTCTCAGATTTCAGGAACTTTTGAATCTCGCCATAAACTGAGAGATCCTTCATTTCTATCAGGCAGAGGAAGATGTTAATGGCTGCATCTGGACAGCTATCTACAGGAACTTCCATCTCCTTTAGATTCTTGATGATGTTTTTAATTGATTCTGGATTGTTCTCCATTTGACCCAGCAGGCCTCCTAAGAGTCTCTGATTAGACTCCACAGAGAGGCCATGAAGGAAGCGAACAAACAATTCCAGGTGGTTATTTCCATATATAAGGCTTTGCCTCAAAGCTGTCATCAGTAAGTCCTCCAGAGATTTTTTACTGCAGTCTTCTCTCAGGAAGCTCCCCAGTACCTCTGTGTTCCTGCTGGTGAAACAGTGGAACATGTAAACTGCAGCCATAAACTCCTGGATGCTCAGATGGACAAAACTGTAGACCTGTTTCTGGAAGATCACATTCTCTCTTTTGAAGATAGCTGTACAAATGCCTGAGAACACAGAGGCCTCTCTTACATCCAGACCAACCTCCTCCAGGTCTTCTTGGTAGAACATGATGTTTTTTACCATCAGTTGTTCAAGCGCCAGCCTCCCCAGCTTCAGGAGAACTTTCTTGTCAGCCTCCATCAGCTCCTGCATACTTCTACCATGCCCTTCATGGTACTTGTTCTTCTTCCTCCTGGTCTGGACCAGCAGGAAGTGTGAGTACATGTCAGTCACAGTCTTGGGCAGCTCTCCTCTCTGCTCTGTGGTTAGCAGATCATCCAGAACTGTAGCAGTGATCCAGCAGAAGACAGGGATCACACATATAACATTGAGGCTTCTGCAGGTCTTGATATGGAATATGATCCTGCTGGCCTTCTCCTCTTCATCCCTGAATCTCCTCCTGAAGTACTCCTCTTTCTGGGTGTCAGTGAAGCCTCGTATTTCTGTTACTCTGGCAACACAGGAAAAAGGAATCTGACTGGCCGCTGCAGGTCTGGAAGTTATCCAGACCAGAGCAGAAGGAAGCAGGTTCCCCTTGATGAGGTTCATCAGCAGAATGTTGACTGATGTTTTCTGTGTGATATCAGAAACAATCAGACTGTTGTTGAAGTCCAAAGAAAGTCTGCTTTCATCCAGGCCATCAAAGATGAAGAGAAGCTTCCAGACAGCCAGCTTCTCTGCTGGGAGCTTATGGAGTGTTGGATGGAAAACATGGAGCAGCGTGAGAAGACTGTGCTGCTGATCTCTGATCAGGTTCAGCTCCCTGAAGGAAAGCAGAACCACCACACTGACATCTTGGTTCTCCAAGCCCTCTGCCCAGTCCAGAGTGAACTTCTGCACTGAGAAGGTTTTTCCAACACCAGCGACGCCGTTGGTTAGAACCACTCTGATTGGTCCATGTTGGTCAGGGAAGGCTTTGAAGATGTCATGGCACCTGATGGGAGTGTCATGGCACCTGATGGGAGTATCATGGAGGTTTTGGATCTTGGAAGCTCTCTCCATCCACCTCACCTCATGATGGGTATTGAGCGTTTCACTCTGTGCCTCTATGATGTAGAGCTCAGTGTAGATCCTGTTGAGGAGGGTTTGACTTCCTGTTTCATTGCTGCCTTCAGTCACATTTTCACATCTTCTCTTCAGGCTGCTCTTATGTTCCTCTAGAATCTCCATCAGACCAACATCTGCTGAAACACATAAGAAAAGACAACTGAAGGAAAAACCATGATTTAGTGGTGAAGTTGGACCCAAACTATCTGGAGCATTAGGAGGTATTATCATTAGAAGGACTTTTTCTTTTAAACAAGTGATGCTAAACAATTCAGCCTTTTCTCAGAAACAGAACTTTTTTTCAATTGTCAGACAGTATTTTTCTACCTCTGGTTGTGGCATCATCTGGATCTTATTCACAGAGCAGAAAAGATAATAAACGCTGACAGAAATATGCAAGAAGGAGCGCATCTTGTACATGGGGGCTGAGGTCCTTTGGAGTAAGCTGCCCCCTGCTAGAATCTTTCTATGAGTCTGCAATGGCCCTATCCCACCTTTACGCTGTTGTCTGTCTGACCTAGGCTGCACTCTGGACTCAGTGGAGAAAGTGGCTGAGAGGAGGGTGTTGTCCAAGCTTCCATCCATCATGGACACCACCTTCCATCCTCTGCACCAGACTGGAGAGGAGCTGAGCAGCTCCTTTAGTCAAAGACTTTTACACCCTGTTTGTAGAAAGGAGGGTGTAGTGTTATGGTTTTCCACTTTTGGGACACTGAATTTTTAGTTTTCAGTTATTCTGTTTTGTTGATCTTTGTTTTATTTTCCCACTACATCCTAGCTTTCTAAGTTACTCTCTGTTGCCCCCTTTGTGCTGTTTTCCTTTCCCCTTTCCTCCCTTCTTGTTAGTTCCACTCACACCTGCTCCATATTCAGCTCATGAGGCCATCCTTTGTTCTGTTCCCCTTGTAGGCACCACCTCTGCAGTTACTTAGTGCAGATTCCTTGTTGTTCTTTGTTGTTATTTCCTATATATATATAAGTGGAGTTATAAACTATAATGACAGATAATAGCAGATAAAAGATTTACAGATTATTTACAGCTATAGTTTAAAAGTGCATGTCAGTGGTCTTGGATCAGTAGGTTGTTGTGTCTGTGTGTGCTGGTGTGGGTTCTAGTTTGCAGGCTTTTGTAACGCCTCCCAGAGGCAAGGAGTGAGAAGAGTGTGTGTGCAGGGTGAGTGGAGTCTGGTTGTTTTTTTCTAGCCCTTTTCAGACACCACTTCCTGTAGATGTCCTTGATGCCAGGGAGTGGCATGTGCTTGGCAGTTTTCAAAACCCTCTGAAATGCCTTGTAGTTCGGGGCAGAACTGTTTCCATACCAAACTGATACAGTTGATGAAGATGCTCTCAATAGTGCAGCGGAAGACGTTCATGAGGATCTCTGGGTTACAGATGGTGCTTGGAAATCGGGACAATGAAGGTGGACTTTACAAAGGTCACTGCCACAGTGTGGACAGGTTGAAGCTCTCCAGCCAGCTCCCCAGAGCACACTCTGAAGACTCGTCCAGGGATGGCACCAGGACCCCTATACTTGTGGGCTTCAATCCTGCTCAAAACCACTCCTATGTCAATAGAGTGGGCGGGTGTAATTACTGCTTGGCTTCCGTTGCAGTGTTCCCTCTCTCTAAATAAGCACGGAAGTTGTTAAACTCGTTGAGGAAGGAGACACAAGAGGAGGCAGGGAAGGTGTTGTTGGTCCTGTAGTCTGTGAGAATTTGAAGGCCTTGCCATATGCGTTGGGGTTGGAGTTGGAGAAGAGGTCCTCATCCTTCGTTTTGTAGTGATGTTTGGCCTTCTTGATGTCCCTGTTCTGCTTAGCACTGGCTGCAATGTAGGCTTGTGCATCCCCTGAGCTTAAAACGATGTTGCGGGCTTTCAGCAGGAGGCGAACATCCCGCTTAATCCAGGACATCTGGTTGGGGTAGATGGAAATAAGTTTGTGGACGGTGACACTGTCTATAATGAAGATGTGGGCCAGTACAAATGAGGTATACTGATCATACTCTGAGTCCTGAGGCACAGCGTCTTAGCCCTCTGGCCACACCTTTACTGTCCTCACAGTAGGTTTCAGATGTTGGATGAGTGATGAGTACCGAGGTGTTAGGAACAGGGAGAAATGTTCTGATTGCCCAATGTGGGATAGGGGTGTTGCCTTGTAAGGGGCTAGTTGAAAATACTGCTAAGGTTTTCAGAGACTCTAGCAACATCTGGAATGCTTGTTTTTGTATGCTGATGTTCCTTTTTCTGCTTCCCTACTTCTCACTAGACTTCTTCTTGTTAGTTTTCAGTCTGTCTGCTTCTCTCTCCTTGAACCCCAGTGGGCCTCAGCAGATGGCCACTCACACTGAGCCTGGTCCTGCTGGAGGTTTCTTCCTGTTAAAAGGAAGTTTTGCCTCTCCACTGTCGCAACAAGCATGCTTAGTGTGAGGGATGGCTAAAGAGTCAATGAGTCGATGCAATCAGGTAATTTTTCTTAAATAGAAAAATTTGAGTCAGTTTGACTGTATGATCTGGTAAACTGTAAAGTGCCTTGGAATGACATGTGTTGTGAAGTGGCGCTATATAAATAAACTGAATTGAATTGAATTGTTAGTGGGAATGTTTTGGCTTGTGTGTGGAGGGTTGTGATGACGCCTGGGTTGTGTTCCAGTTGGTGGTGTGAGTCAAATGCAGGTCAGGTAGGTGTGTGTGTAAACATCTATGTTGAGTTGTCTGTCTTCCATGATGTGAACTGTGCAGTCCAGGAAGTCCATGCTGTCATCTTTCACATCTTACCGGGTGAACTGGATTTTTCTGTCCACTGCATTTATGGGGTCTGTGAAGGTTTTGATATTCTTGATCTTTATTTGAACCCATGTGTCATCTACGTATCTGAACCAGTGACCGGGTTTTGTTCTCATTTAAGAGTCTAAAGCTTTTCACTTCTATGTATAATTTTTTCCACTTTAGGAGACACAGGAAAGCCCATCACACATCCAATCTTGTGCCTGCTGAAACCTTGGCTGAAATGGAAGTATGTAGTGTTGAGGCACCAGTCCAGAAATAATAGATGTGGTCAGTGGTCTGATTGGTCCTGTCTGGCAGAGTGTGGTGTTGAAGTAAATGTATCTTTACTGTGAAGACTGCTTCTAAGGTGGAGAAGAAGCAAAGAAGGGTCTCCAAAGTAACCCAAATCTTGTGTGAATGACGAGGCACCACAGACAGAATTTAGTTATTGCAGCTGTTCTCAAAACTTTATAGTAAAAAGCTAATTGGAAATAAAAAGAGGTGCACTCTACTACTATTCATTTAAAGGGGGCTACTAAGCCATTTGTGCGTATGACACAATGGGAACCCAGATAATTGTGGCTCTGATTTCCTACCCTGTCTCTCCTTGTGTGAAATCAGCAATGTAGGTTTCTTTCATCTCTTTGCTTTCTTGAGTCAAAACTACAACCAGCTTTATAGAAATTATCAGGTTTACCACTGGAAAGCCCAGAGATATGACAATTTTTGTCAGCCTCCAGTCAACCCAACAGTACTTCACAACTTATGAATCCCTTTTAAGATGTAAATGCCCTGTCATTAGTGCAGTGGCTGGACAACCATTCCACCCGCTTCAGTTTCGGTTTTAGCTCAAGTCTCTCTCTTGATGAGTGTTTTACCTGAGAGTAGGGGGTAAAACTGACCACAAGGCATCATATTTGTAATAAAATAAAACTAGGTCTAGGTCATCAGTGTTGCCAACACAGGAATGATTTCAGACAGCGGAGCCACCAACGCAGCTATCAGATGATAACTGATCTGTACACTCAAAAAAGCTGGAACGCTGTACAGAGGGAAAACAAGAATATGAAGATGTTCTCTATATACATAGAGAACATCTGCCCTATCTACTAGGGGGCAAATATAACTCAGTTCTGCTGCTCTGCTGCGGCGAGCAGCGGAGAGATAGCATCCTGAGACTGCAGTAAAGTTGGCAATATATTCACAGATTCGGCTTTTCCGGATTAATAACTCGTCGGCGGATGATTTATTCTACAAAACAGACACCTCTCTCCAACCACAGCAAGGCAGACAGTGAGCTACAACCGTATTTTCCTCAAAACGAGTCTCCTATTGTGCTGGGAGAATTACATTGGACCCTATGGAGAGCTTGCTGCTTCGCAAATGCTTAGGGACCGTCTGCAAGTTGCAACATCATAAAAAAAATCTGAGAGAAATATTCAAAAGTGTCAACAAGGAGAGGTGGATTGTTATCAAATGCATTTTATGTGTATCTCATCTCATGTCTTTTATTAAACATTTATTGGATTCGAAAATAATACGTTTTTGAGGAATTTCCCAAAGTCTAAATGACAAATGGTATTAGAATAAGTATAAAATGAGCAATGACTATACTATAGATCATTGTTGTGCCTCCAAACTTGTAGCATGCATAGGTAACCTCATTTAGTTCAGACTAAAACTCTTACTGTGGGAAAATGTGCTAAAAAAATGTTTAGATGTTTTCATTGTTATTCTAAGCAGGCCAGGTGTTCAATCTCTGCAACAGGAACCACAGCACTGAGCGTTGTGTGCACTTCACAAAGTATACCTATCACAAATGCAGGAAGGTCTCACCTTGGGTTTGTGAGAACTGCTAAATGGGACAATTTCAGCTTCATATATAGTGCTTTTCCTTGGGTGAAATAAATGTTACTCCAATACTGAAATCATACTGTTTGTCATTCTCTAAGCAGAAATGTTGAATGACATGAAAAGGCAAGAACAGGAAAAATACAATAATTCTCTAAGTTATTTTTTTCACATAGTAAGCTTTGCAATATAAATGAGTCTGTTGGTGAATGGACAATATAAATAGGCTCTGCCTTGCCTTATTGGAAAAATATGTTTATTACCTGTTCTCAGCTCAGGAACTAGGACCCGTATGATATCTGGTTGTTCAATAGGTCTGCCTAAATAAAAGATTTAGATATGACTTATCAACTAATTCTTGCAAAAAGTTCTAATTTTTCAGAGGAAGGTAATGGAAAGTGTTTGGAGCATGCTCTGGTTCTGATGCCAGTTTGTTTAATCCTTTATCCAGTCTCATGTAGAAGGGCTGGTCATATCACAGGTTATTAGTGTTGAGATATATTACCAACATGTAGCTAAATCAGTGGGGTGAACCATCTGGAACCATCCCCCTGTTTGCCATCTGAAACCATCCCCCTGTTCTTCTCCACAATAAAAACCCCTGTACCAACCCACTGTGGGAGGCAGCCACCTCAGACAGACTAATCAGCCGAGACTCCGACCGGAAGTGCTCCCGCGTCACTCATGGCATAAAAACACGTTGCGAGCAGACCATTCCCTCTTTTTCCATGGGTGTAAAGCCCACCAAGAGAGACTTGTTTCACGTGAAATACCAGAAGAAAGCTGACTGGAAGTAGCTTTCGTTTTCCTGCGTCAAAAATCACAGATCACAGTGTTCCATCGTGCATAGCGGCTGCGCCAACTGGGGAGACAGAAGCCTTTGAAGCTGACCACGAAGTGAGTTTTGTTTTCCCCTTTCTTTGGACGGATCAGCCGGGAGGATGCTCCTCGCCAATTACTTCCCCAAAATCCATCCTGTTCAACTCGTGAGCATATCAAGCCCTCTGCTGTAGCACCGAACTGACTCAACTTTCCCAAGGGGTGGACAGGTGCCAAGAAACCCTCTGCGCGGCCGAAACCAAGCCACGGTTTCCTTGGAAACACCAGCCTTCCACGGACGGGAAGCAGCTCACAGTTAAATCAATTTCCTTTCTGTGTAGTGTTTTGCATAGATGTTAGATTTTCTGTAATGCTGAATTATTAGAATAAAAAAATCATTGGTTAATCTGTAGTGGTTTTGGTTCTCCATATAAAGGAGGGTTTATCACTCAGGTTGAATCCAACCCCTTTTGGTAATAGTGCGAATAAACAGAGATAAAAGGTTCTTTATTGATAATTTAATAGCCTTGCTGATAACTTCACCTGGGCCAATAGACTTGTGGATACCTGGATTTTAACAGCCGGTCCAGGAACCCTCCAGAGGTGAATCCGCAACCCGGTAAGTAGATAATTCAAGGCTACAATTATCCACCTAAGAACACTAAATCAATTTTGCCTTCGATTTTGGGGCTTGGAGAAAAACTGAAATTCTCTGGGACTTCTAGTGTTAAAAATTTAGGACAAAGGCTTGAAAACAATGCAAATTCAACCCATAGTTGGGCTGGACACTGATGTTATATTTAAATCAGCTGAGAAAAAAAAACGAAATTTAGAGAAAAGAAAGCCATCACAGACTTTTAAAATTCCAAATTTAAATCAAAGATGTCAAAATGTTTCAATATAGAATTAAAGGAAGCTCTGCTTGGAGATGTTCAGTCTTACCTGCTGTACAGCTGCACTGATGGACACTCATAGGTCCATCTCTGGTTTTGCAGGTTCTTCCACACTGAGGGCAAGAAGGGGGTTCTGATAGAACAGGCTGGAGTGGCTTATTGCATCTGTTGAACAAAAGAAACAAATATCCCATGAAAACAGATAAAAAAGTAAACCTTGTTCTTGTCTTAAATGTC